CACGGGCACTTGTGCTCTGGGATCCCCGCAGCCACAGGGATGCTGTGGGCGGAGACATGGACAGGGCAGAGAGGTGGTTGCTCGCTGGCTGATGGTCACATTCACTGCCCAGAGCTGACCTTTTGTCCAGCAACTGCTAAAAACTGTCCTAAAGGATCTTTATTCTGGTGTGGTTTCCTGTAGTGGTGCTTCAGTGGGAGCAGAACTGTTCAGTGTCAGAACGTGGGTATTGATCTACCTTCTACCTCTAATTATAGCAGCTGCCCAGCCGGCTGCCAGTCGCCTCTGTGGCACCGGCTACTGGTGGCACGGCCCCTCCTCATCTCTGTGTCACAGGGGTGCTGCTGGCACGGCCCCTCCTCATCTCTGTGTCACAGGGGTGCTGCTGGCATGTCCCCATCTCATCTCTGTGTCACAGGGGTGCTGCTGGCATGTCCCCATCTCATCTCTGTGTCACAGGGGTGCTGCTGGCACATCCCCATCTCATCTCTGTGTCACAGGGGTGCTGCTGGCACATCCCCTCTGGTGCCTGAGGATTCTGTCCCAGAATCCAGAGCCCCATCCCCTTTTCCCCTGTGAGGGCTGGGGTGATGTCTGTGGTTACAGACAGGAGTTGCTGACCCTGCTGTGATCCCACGCCCTTGTGGGTGACATGAAGGTCACCTGCTTTCCCTGGAAATGCTTTTCCATGTCTTGTGTCAGGGTGATGTAGATGTCTCCCTCGGAGAAGCCGTGCGTGGGAAGTCGGAAATCACCATCCCACGGCAGGCGCTTGCTCGGCAGCCTGGCAGGAGGAAAACTTGTCCTTTTCTGCTGCCAGTTTTTGCTTTTCTTGAACAAAAAGGTTGAAAATCCAACGAGCTCTGGAACCTGCAGGATTGCATTGTGTGTGAGTGCCAAGTGGTGTTTTCCTGGTGTAATTTGGGAAGGAGCAGCGTTAGGAAGGGAGCTCTGGAGTTCATAGCTCAGCTGTTCTGACAGCTCCCGTGCTGCCTGGCCAGGGGAGGTTTCCAGCTGCCAGATAATCTCTCCTGCTGTGGCATCGTGCTGGGACCCAGCATCCACCTGCTCCAGGGAGCTGTGGGCAGGAGGATCAGCCCTAATTAAAACCAGCCAGGAATGAAAGGGTGGATGTTAAACTGCGTTAAACTGCGCTCCTTCATTTGGGCGCTTTGATCCCGGCTTTGTCACCGCCCTGGAACGTGCAGGCTGAGCAAAGCAGCCCTGTGGGATCGCACAGCCCAGGGCCAGGCAGGTTTTGGGGTTGGCCTCTCACCCCGGTGCCTGCCAGGGGTGGGAGCAGCCCACAGGTTGCATCAAAGCTTTGGCCAGGCTGGTCGTGCACCTGCAGTGGCAGCCAGGACCTGCCCGTCCCCGGACGTGCCAGTGGTGTCCCAAGAGGTTGGGTCAAGGGTGAATCTCCCCATTTTGGAGCCGTCCTCCCCAGCCTGGCTTTGGCAGCCAGCCAGCAGGAGCATCCTGCCAGCACAGTGTGCCAGGCTGCAGCATTGCCCCATGCCCTTCCCTGCTGCCACCATCCCATTGTCCTGGATCTCCTGGCCAAGTTGATGCTTGGAGGCAGTGAAAGCACACGTGGGCTGGCAGCCCTGAGGGACTGGCATTGATTTGGTGCCACCCTGGTTTATTTGGGACCATGCTGGACCCAGCATCTCGTGGTGGTGCTGTGGGAGGGCTGGAGCTGCTCCTGCATGGGTCCAGTCCTTGTGCTGGACATGAAATGGCTCAGTGAAACCTCTGCACTGAATCCCCAAGGATGAAACCAACCTCTCCAGCAGCTCCTGGGCTGAATTTTGGCTGGTCAGGCTGTCAGTGAGACTAAGAGCAATAATTGCAATAAAACCACCACTGCCAGTGGGAATTACAGCTCTTTGGGACAGTCCAGCAGCGTCCCAGCTCACTCAGCAGCTGAGGTCCTGTCTTTGGGGATAGTCCTGAGGATCTGCATGTCTCACACTTTGACCCTTCTGGCTGTGCCTCCTCCAACCCCTGTGGGGCTCAGGTTCCATGGATGGGTTGGGATGAGCATGATGGGCTGGGACAGGCCTGTCTTAGGGCAGGCAGCAAAACTCCCAGTTTGGGAGACGTGCTCCCTCTGTGCAAAACACCTCAGGAAAGATGCAGGAAGGGCTTCCAGACCCTTCCTTGCCTGGTCCAGGATAAGCCATCCTTTCTGTCAGCATCCCCTGGGAGGTGCTGGCATCCTGAGGAGCTGTGGCACATCTCTCTGGCCAAGCTGCCATCGAGGGCACAGCCTGTGCCAGCTCCAGGCCTTTGGGTGGCTGTGAGGGCACTTTGGGAGAGGCAGCTGTGCTGCAAGTGCCTGTTCCTGGGCACTCCAGGCTCGTTAACCTTTGGGGATAAGAGGATTACAGCGAGTCACCGGCTTAACTCCAGTGCTGCTTTAGGGCCCCACATGGCGGGGTAACCCCGGGACTCTCCTGGGCACAAAGGCAAAGCCAGGCCCTCTCCCCAGCAGCTGGGCTCAGCCTTTTGGGACAGGTTCACTCTTTGGGATGATTCAGAGTCTTGCTGCTGTCATGGTCAGTTCCTGGGTAGCTGTTCTGGACTCTTTTGGGGTGGGTTTGGTGCATGGACACCTCTGACATTGCCCCTTTGGTGTTGGGTTCCTCCTGCATAAGTCAGGAGCACTCGAGAACTCGGGGTCAGGTTCCTCCTCCTACAGGAAGGTGCCTCATTTCAGAGGTGTCTCTGGACAAGCAGCCACGTGGAAGCAGGTGCTTTCCTGGGCAGGTAGATGGGATTTTTATAGGGCTTTAGGGCTGTGGAGCTGCAGGGAGGGACCGAGTTCCTCTTCCGGCACAAGTGCTGGCAACGGGGTGGCTTCCTGCCTTCCCAGCTGGGACCTTTTTCCTCTGCTGGAGACAGAGGGCCCATGGACACAGACACAGCCCAAGCACTCCTGCAAGGGTGAAGCAGCTCCTTGAGTCTGAGGAGGAAGATCCTCATCCAACACAGCAACTTGGATTTGCAGCCCATCAACACGTGGGGGATGCGACCGACCCCGCTCTGGGGTCATCTTTTGGAATAAATTCCTAATTTAAAGTCTGCTGTGATCAAACACATCAAAATATAGATAATCCTCTTGTGATAATCACATTGCTCTGGATTTTTGCTCCATCAAGATGGGCATTGAGGCTGCCACTCCCTCCTTGCTTGGGGGCTGCTTTTCCCCACGTGCTGTTTGCACGCAGCAACATCCTCAGCAGAACCCAAACCACTCCCCCGTGGTTCAAAGGCTCCTTGTGATTACACAAACAACCCTGGAATTTGGCATCTCACTATTGTGCTTTAATGTTCCCCGGGCACGGCGCTGAGTTCAGGCTGCAAAAATGCAAAAATTGGTTTCCTGGGACAGGGACAGCCGGGAGCACCAACAGCAGTGGTCAGATCCTGCTGGGGATGGGGGCTCTAATGGATGCTTTGTTTGTGGATAAAAAGGACTATTCTGATGTGTTGCAAATGACTTTGAGGTGACAAATGTGTTCTGAAATTCAGGGTGTTCCCCAAGAGCAGCAGCACTGTGCTTTGGGGTGTCGGGGTAGCCATGGGGTCTCACCATGTCTGACAGCCTCTCTCCCCTCCTCCTGCAGGCCATCAGCATCAGCAAAGCCATAAACACCCAGGAAGCCCCAGTGAAGGAGAAGCATGCCCGCCGTATCCTTTGCCTTGGCTCCCAGGACAGCACCGAGGAGTTGGGGCTCTGGGGGTGTCACCCCCTGGTGCTGGAGGGGATTTGGGAGACAAAGAACCGAGGGGGCTGGCATCACCTGGGTTCATCCATCAGTGAAGAGGCAAATGAGCAGTGCAATAAAATTGCATTGCTTTGGCAGTAAAATGCAGAGGGCCCCACTGTGCCCTCAGCAGGGGGAGGTGTGCCCAGAAATGACAATTGGGGTTTTATTTGGGGGTGCAGCGTTGTGCCAGTGATCCCTGTGCTCACGGGGCACCCAGTGTCCCCTTTTCAATGCGAGTGGAACAGGAGCAGCCCCAGCCCAGCCTGTGCCCTGCTCTGTGTGTGTCCAGTTGGCCTTGACTGCCCTGGAAGGGATCATCCTGGGCACCCACCACGAGAAGGGAGCCTTCACCTTCTGGTCCTACGCCATCGGGCTGCCCCTGCCCAGCAGTGCCATCCTCAGCTGGAAGTTCTGCCACGTCCTGCACAAGGTCCTGCGTGACGGCCACCCCAACGTGAGTGTCCCCTCTGCCCCCTCCCTCCTGCTCCTCTCCCAGCAGGAATTTCTGCCCCTTGCCAACACCCCTCTGCACAGGGACTGGGATCCCTTCCCCACCCCAGCCACCTTTCCCAGGCACTCTGCTGTCTCACATCTTTGAAACTTCCCCGTGCAAATCCCCGACCTTTGGGTTCTGAGGGAAGGCTGGAACTGCTCCCAGAGCTGGAGTGGTGTAAGGGGCTGGATCCCTCCTCTTCCCCAGCATCAGGGCCAACAGCCAGCCCCACTGTGCCACATCCTTCCCTTTTGTGTCCCCAGGTTCTCCAGGACTGCCAGAGGTACCGCAGCAACATCCGAGAGACGGGAGACCTGTGGGTGAGTGGGGCAGAGTGCAGCTTTGGAGATGGCTGCTGAGGGGCATGGTGGGCACAGAGAGGGGGAAGCACTGCCTGAAACAGCCTGCTGTCCCTTTGGGTGATGGTTGTGTGCGTGGTGGAGCCCCTGGCTCTGTGGGATCTGCTGGGTCTGGTTCCTCACTCTGCATTCCCCCTCGTGTCTCTGCAGGGCCATTTGCACGACAGGTACGGGCAGCTGGTGAGCATCTACACACGGCTCCTGCTCACCAAGATCTCCTTCCACGTCAAGGTGAGACCTCTGCCACCTCCCCAGCCCTGGAACGAGGGCATGTGCCTCTGATGGCAGCTGATGGCTTTTTGCTTCCTTTTACAAAGCATCCCGAGTTCCCCCCGGGCCTCGAAGTGTCGGATGAGGTGCTGGAAAAGACTGCAGGGACAGATGTGAACAACATGTGAGTGTCCTGGTGGGGTCACCAGCTCCATGAGCCCCAGCTGGCAGTGTCCTGCTGACAAACCCACCCCAGGATGGGGCAGTCACCAGGATTTTGTGAATTGTTTGGATGGTGCCCGATCCCTCCTGCACCCACAGAGCACTGTGGGGTGTAAATGCAGGGAGAAAAAGCCCCAAATTCTTGTCAGTCAGAACCCTTGCCATCATGGGGACTCTCAGTGAACACGAGCAGCTGGAGCAAAGATGTCTCTGCTGTCAAGTGATGGAGTTTTGGTTTGTTTTGGCAGCTTCCAGCTGACGGTAGAGCTGTTTGATTACCTGGACTGTGAGCTGAAGCTGTCGGAGTCAGGTGAGGAGGCGGCAGGGGCAGGTCCCTCCCCTCGCCCCGGGGCTCTTGAGCAATAGTTTCGCTCTTTGGTCGGGAATGGAGTTCCGGGAGGCCGAGGTTGGAGGCTCAGGTCCCTCCTCCTCCTCCTCCCATGAGATTTCTGAGGTGGTTTCCCAGCTGGATTCTCCCGTTGAAGCTCTGTAGAGGCCGTTGTAGGAAAATATTTAGAGCACGTGGCTGCTTTGAACCCACCTGAGCAAGGCTGAGTGTTGTTTTCAGAGCAGAGCTGCTCTGAAATACGTTTTTATTTCTTTTTTGTACAACCACATTAATCATATCCATTACACAAATCCCTTCTGTCCCTCTGAAGCAGAGGACGGGGCTGTACTTCTTTTTAAAGACACATTTCCCCTCATTGAAATGCCTCTGGGGAGGGCTGGAGGCCCTGCTCATGTCTCTCACCTCCTCAGGAATTTTCAGATGGCTTAGAGAGGTGGCAGATTCTTCCTCTGCCGGGAGTCAGGAACACGGAGCTGCCCTGGAAAACGGCACAGCAGGAGAGGCCGAGCTCCCAACAGGCTCCTGCTTCTCCTCCTGACCCAGTTCTACAGAGAATTTATATTCATAAATACTTTAAAGCTGAGCAGGGAAGAAGCCAGGGTGGATGTGCTGCCTGGATCCCTGCCAAGGGAAGGGATCTGTTTCCGAGCAGGGGCAGGCGAGGCTGCGGTGCCGCCGGGCTCGTCCCCTGCCCTGGCATCCTCTCCCAGATCCCTGCATGATTAAACAGAATGGAGCCAAACCTCTCACTTCCCCAGCTGTGTCATGCAGCAGCAGCTTTAGGGCAGCATCCTGGGGTTAAATCCCTCCTTTTTGGGGCTGGGGTATCCAGGGCAGAGCTGAGCACCCCTTCCCTGTGCCAGCGTGGTCCCTCTGGGTGTTTGTGCTGCTCTGAGCAGGGCTGTTCTGAGCTCAGGAGCAGCCCTGGTGTTTCCCCTGCCCCACATCCGCCGTGGTTAATGATCAAACAGCTGGCAGGGCACGGGCAGCTCTGCAAACACGGCTCCCCTCAGTTTTCAGGCAGCTCAACACCTCCATGGCCGTGTCGCAGATGTCGGCGGTGCAGTGCCGCCTGGCCCCCCTCATCCAGGTCATCCAGGACTGCAGCCACCTCTACCACTACTCGGTCAAGCTGATGTTCAAGCTGCACTCCTGTGAGTCCCGGGGATGTGCTCAGTGCTGGTGTTTTCCCAGGGTGGGCTTCTGGGTCTGGGGATGAGGCTGGTGTGGATTGAGGCATCCATCACCATGTCCCTGTGTGAATTGGGCTCTAGGGGCTGCTCCATCCCACACAGACATTCCAGACAAAGGAATTATAATGAAGGACTTGTTTAACTCAAACCCACGTCCCCTGGCCTGCCAGCTCCCTGCATGGGCAGCACAGTGCCAGCAGCCACGTGTGGGTATTTTGGAGTTCCCCCATCCACATCTCCCTGTGCCAGAGATGGGAACACCCCACTCCCATCCTGACCCCTCACGTCCCACTCCCTCCTGGCTTTCACCCTGCTGGCTTTTGCAGAGGAGGGGTCTGGGTGCATGTGGACACACGGGCAGGTCAGCCCAGATCAGTCACAGCTGTCCCTCCTCACCCAGGTCTGCCGGCTGACACCCTGCAGGGCCACCGGGACCGCTTCCACGAGCAGTTCCGCAGGTAACCAGGGCCCAGGGGGATCAGTGGGGTCCCCTCCCTCCTTCCAAGCCCCCTGTCATCTCCCCTTTGTCTTTCCCTCCTCTCCAGCCTTAAAAACTTCTTTAAGAGGGCATCTGACATGCTGTACTTCAAGCGCCTCATCCAGATCCCGCGGCTGCCGGAGGTAGGGCAGGATTTGGTGCTCTGGGGACACTGCCTCTGGCCCTGTCAGCAGCACAGGGCTGGCTCCCTCCCTTCCCCTGGCACTCAGCCTGCTGCAGCTCCTGAACCTCCCCTGCAAGGCTGCAACAGCTTCTTGTCCCTCCAGAGCCCCCCAAACTTCCTGCGGGCGTCGGCGCTGGCCGAGCACGTGAAGCCGGTCGTGGTCATCCCCGAGGAGGCCCCCGAGGATGAGGAGCCAGAGAACCTCATTGAGATCAGCACAACTTCCACCACGGAGCCACAGGTGGGGGCCTGGGGCTGGGATGGGGACAGGCTCCCCTGTCCTGGCTCAGTTCAACTCCCTCTGTCCTCCCCAGATCACCTCGGATCTGTTTGAGCAAACCTTCGGGCCACCCAACGGCGCTTGGGATGACAGGTATGGGATGGGGGCCAGCAGGGGTGAGGGCCTGCTGCCACATGGGACCAACCTGCCCTTGTCCCCAGGGATGCACAGATTGAGAGCCTGAAGAAGGAGGTGGAAACGCTCCGTGCAGAGATGGAGAAGATTAAACTGGAGGTAAAGCCTGGCTGGGGAGCAGCTGGGGTGGGGTTTGGTGCCGTGCTGTGGAAACCCTGAAGGGATGCAGCAGGAGTGGGGTCCTGGCACCCAGGGTTGTGTTTTGGGACCTCTCCCAGTGCCAGGATGTGATTCCTGATGGGGTGGAGGCATGTGAGACTTGCCCCTTGCTGTCCTGATGTTATCAACAGGGACAGAGGTGCAGGGGTACCAGGCAGGGCTTTCCTGTGCATCCCATGGCTGCTTTGCCCACATTGCAGTGGGATTGCAGCTGGCTGGGGGTGTTGGGGAGGCAGGGCCGTGCCCCAGTGCCCGATGATCCCTGCAGGCACAGCGCTACATCACCCAGCTGAAGGCCCAGGTGAACAGCCTGGAGGGAGAGGTGGAGGAGCAGCGCAAGCAGAAGCAGAAGGCACTGGTGGACAACGAGCAGCTGAGGGACGAGCTGGAGAGGCTGCAGAGGGCCAAGCAGGACAGTGACAGGTCCCAGAGACTCTGCGCCGAGGCCGAGAGTAGGTGCTGGGGTGTCCTGGGCTGCCCTGGGGTGCCCAGGGCCGTGGGCTGCCCTGGCTTTGGTCCCTGAGGGTCTCTGACCCCTGCAGAGAAAGCCAACGCCACCGAGATCCGCTACACGAAGCTGAAGGAGAAGCACAGCGAGCTCATCAACACCCACGCCGAGCTCCTGAGGAAGGTGAGGCTGCTGCCCTGCAGGCAGGGACTGGCACTGAGGGCAGTGTCCCCGAGTTAAATCCCTCCCTTTTGGGGTTGGGGTATCCGGGGCAGAGCTGAGCACCCTTTCCCTCTTCCATCCCTCCCGTTGGGTGTTTTTGTTGTTGTTCTTTGGGGTGTTTTGCTGCTGTTTGGTCTGTTTCTGCTGGTTTCAGTGCAGCTGCTGGGATATCACTTGTACCAGCAGTTGTTGCATGCTTGGCTCCAGTTCTGGAAGGGGGCTCTCAAGGGATGTGCTGGTGATGGGGATTCTGTGTCTCAGTTGTGCCACTCACCTGTTTTGCTTTTGCTTTTGGGTGTTTTGGTCTTGCTTTTGTCCCTTGGTCCTTCTGCCACCACTGGTGTCACTGTGCCTGCCCAGTCCCCCTGTATTGGTCCCACCACCCTCTGAGCACCAGGAAGGGGTACTCCTTGAATCCATGTCCATTGTGGATGCCGTGAGAAAGGCATCTTGGATTTATCTCTGAGCTAGAATTGGGTTGCAATGAGTGTGGGGACGGTGAGGGTCCCCCTTGGAGCACCAGGTGAGCCCCATGTCCCCCCACAGAACGCTGACACTGCCAAGCAGCTGACGGTGACACAGCAGAGCCAGGAGGAGGTGGCACGTGTCAAGGAGCAGCTGGCATTTCAGGTGGAGCAGGTCAAGCGAGAGGCTGAGATGAAGGTGAGCTCTGGATCAGCCCTGAGCCCTGCCCAGCCTGGGAAATGCAGTTTGGGATCAAGGGAAAGGGGAGGTTGTTGCTGTTGGGCCCTTGTTCCAGGAGGAGTTGCCCTGGCTCCTCAGGAAGGTGTCAATATAGGACTCATTCCCTCTTGCCCGAATCTGCCTTTTCTTCCCCCAAGAAAATGCCACAATGCAAATTGATGGGTTTGAGTGCTTTCCTTCTCTGGGGGTCAAGATAGGGACTGCTCCCAAAATTCTGGCATGGGAAAAGGAAAGGAGCCCTTCCAGGAGACACCCCCAAACCCCCTCCCTGCAAAGCATGGCTGGGTTCATTCCCTGCACCCTGGCTGGTGCTGGTGCCCAGTGGGGCAGGGCTGAGCCTGGGCACTGTGTGGGCACAGCTGGAGGACCAGAGCGTGCAGATGGAGCAGCTGAGGCAGGAGCTGGACGCCCGTCGGGACGAGCTGGAGCAGGCGCAGCGCTCGCTCAGCCACGCCAAGCAGGTACAGGGCTGGGGCAGCACGGGCCCAGGGCCCCTCAAACCCTGTCACAGGGCTTGGCCTGCCACCACTGCTGAGCCTGAGCTGCAGCAGCAGCCCAGGGAGCTGTCATGGGGCTGAGAGTGGGGCCAGCCCATCAGTGTCACGAGCTGGGCATGTTCTGAGCTCCCCTGGTTCTGTTGGGCTGCCAGCAGTGACAGGGTGTGACGGGGTGTGACAGGGCAGTGACAGGCAGTGACAGGGTGTCCTGGCCCCCATGGCAGGCAGGTGTGGAGCTCAGTGCCCAGCTGGATGCTCTGCACGCTGAGAAGGAGGTGCTGAGGCGGTCGGTGAGTGAGAAGGAGTGTGAGCTGCTGTCCACGCGGGGCCTCGTGCAGGAGAAGGAGCTGCAGCTGAGCCAGGAGGCTGACAGGGCCACCAGGGAGATCCGAGAGCTCCAGGGCAGGCTCCTGGAGAAGGTACGGAGCTCTGTGAAGGGCCCACTGCCCCTCCACTCGCCGGGGTGAGATGTTTGGGGGTGCCAGCTGATGCAGCAGTCATGGGACGGTTGGGTCTGATCCTGGAGAGGGGCTCCAGAGGGAGATGCTGCTGATGGGGATGCTGTGCCATTCACCTGTTCCTCCTCCCTGACAGAGCAACCAGGAGCAGAGCCTGCAGCAGAAGCTGCTGGATGAACAGTTTGGGATCCTGCAGGAGACAGTGAGAGAAGCCCAGGCCATCCTCAGTGATGCCTTGGCCAAGCTGGATGACCCCCTGCACCTCCGCTGCACCAGCTCCCCAGGTATGTCCTGCTCGTGCAGGGGGCTGGAGCACCCTGTGCCTTCTCCCTCCTGGACAGAGAATGCTGCATCTCAGCTCCCCCCTGGCTTTTTTTCCATCATGACTGAGATGATTTGGCTCAGAATTCCCAGGATGAATTTTTAGCTCTCATGTTCAGCACTATTTTGCTCAGATTTCAGAGCTGTTCCCCAGCCAGGGATACACCTCCACTCAGTGGTTCCCTGTGCAGGCAGCCAGCACGTGCTGAGGCCGTGCAATGCAATTCCTTGCAGATTACCTGCTGAGCCGGGCGCAGGCGGCGCTGGAGTCCACGGATGCCCTGGAGAAGGGGCACGCGCAGTACGTGGCCTCCATGGCAGGTACCTGGGGCTGGGGACTGCCACTG